AATGAAAAACATAACAAAGGGCAAGAGGCTCTGGTTTTTTTAAAAAACATTTCTAGACAATAGAAATGTTGACTTCTATCAGAAGCCAAAGTTAATCAGCTAGCTAAGGATGGTCCAGTCCAGGACACTGATGAATCCAACTGGTTTCCTAATGACTCTTGGGGGGGGGGGGGATTTCGTGTTGCTTGCAGAGGTTGTGAGTTCCAGATTTGCCAAGTAGAGTTGTTTTGAGTAGTCAGGGCCTTAATACATGCCCCACCAAAGGAATAAGATGCTGATCACTCAGCAACCTGCTATGAAGAATTTGCACTACATTTCGTAGAGAAAGTTGCTCTGATCTGCTCTGACTTGGATGCTGTAGTTGATGCAGGCCCTATAGATATAACTTTGGCCCCTGCTTGTCCTGTTCTAATGGATACGTTTCAATTGGTGCAGTCTGAGGATGTGGACAGGATTATTGGAGAGATGAAAACCACCATATATGAACTAGACCCTTGCCATTTTTTGCTTATAAAAGCAGCCAGAGGGAAAATGGCTGAGTGGGTAAGGGGAGTGGTGAATGCCTCCTTTCACCAGAGTGAGATCCCAGCATGTTTGAAGATGCTTGTAATATTACTGAAAAGGCCCTCCTTGAATTCCAATTTACTTGGCAACTATTAGCCAGACTCAAATACTCCATTTCTGGGCAAGGTACTGGAGGCCCTGCTACATCAACTGCACTGTGTATCAATTCATTTCCAGGCCTCAATTAAAGTGTTGATTAATACCTATAAGGCTCTCTATAGTTTTGGTTGAGGCTATCTGAAGGACTGCATCTCCCCATACAAGCCTTCCCAGTGCTTAGGATCATCAGAGAAGGCCCTTGTCTTGCTCCCATTGCCATCACAAGTACATTTGATGGAAACATGAGAGAGGACCTTCTCTGTTGCTTCTCCCAGGTTGTGAAATGCCTTCCCTCAGGAGGTCAGGTTGCTGCCGTCCCCCTTTTATCCTTTGTCTCACAGCTGAAGACTCACCTCTTCAGGCAGGGTTTTAATAATCATAACTGAATGCCTGAATGTTATTTTTTTAGCTTGGTAAGTTTGTTTTTTAAAATACAGTGGTGCCTTGCATTGCGACGCTAATTCGTTCCAGCGAAATCGCTGTAGAATGAAAACGTCGCAATACGATTTTTAAAAGCCCATAGAAACGCATTAAAACCAGATTAATGCGTACCTATGGGCTTGAAACTCACCGTTCAGTGAAGATCCTCCATAGCACGGCCATTTTCGCTGCCTGTGCAGCGAGGAATCTGAACAGCGGGTGGCCATTTTGTTTTCCCGGTGGACATTTTGAAACCGCCTATCAGCAGTTAAAAAATCATCGCAAAGTGAAATTCCCCCATAGGGAACATTGTTTTGCGATTGCAAAAGCGATCGCAAAAAGTTCGTCACAATGCGGTTTTGTCGCAAAACGGAGCGCCCGTTAAGTGAGGCACCACTTTATATGTAGTTTCTCATGTCTCAGAGCAGTAAGTAAACAATCTTACACATGCTTCTTTTACGAAATATTGCCTCCTCTTGTTCCATTCAGTCAGAAGGATGAAGAAGATACTTAGAAATTAAGGGGCCAATTTGAAGACTAGCTGTATCCAAATGTTCTTCTAGTATGATTCTGTTTAGCAGGGATTTTTTCTCTGTAGGTTGTTGGGCTGCAGCTCCGATTATATAGGGTGAATGGGAGTGGCAATCCAATGATATTAGGCCACATTCCACAATTGAATATTTACAGATACAGTGGTGCCTTGCTTGACGATTACCTTGTTAGACGAGGAAATCGCTTGACTATTAGTTTTTTGTGATCGCTATATCGATTGCTAAACAATGACTGAATGGGCTTTTTTCGCTTAACATTGATCAGTTCCCTGCTTTGGGAACAGATTTTTCGCTTAACGACAATCAAAAACAGCTGATCGTCAGGTTTCAAAATGGCCACCTGCTGTGCAAAATGGCTCCCCGCTGTGCTTTAGGACGGATTCCTCAAATTACAGGCACCGGAAAATGGCCGCCCTATGGAGGATCTTTGCTGGATACCGAGGTATTTCTCCCATTGGAACACATTGAACCGGTTTTCAATGCATTTCAATGGGCTTTTTCGTTTCGCTTGACGAGGATTTCACTTAACAGCGATTTGAACGGAACGAATTATCGTCAAGCAAGGCACCACTGTAAATTTTTTCCCCATAAGTGACAATTTTCAAACATTCAAAGTAGTCTTCTACAGATGTTGGAAACCAAGCTTACTTTCCATTTTTCGCGAATCATTAGCCAGTGGCATTATATAAATACCCTTTCCAAGTCCACATAACCTCAACCAGCTCAGATTAGGCACAAAGTCAGTGCTTTCGTTGTCCCTGCCACAACACTGAAAGGACTCTCAGCTAGGTGATGATATTTTAGTACAATAGGAAAACAGGAAGTTTAAGTAGCAATGGCAGGGCAGAGAACGCATCTAGGGTGCATTAGTTGAAATGACATCATAAAAATCAGCTGTGTTATGACTAATTGAATTTACTCTATAATTAGTACCAAGAACTTTACAGTTAGTTATTGTGTGTTTTTTCTTGAAGTAGAATAATCTAAGTTCTATTATAGTGTGCAAGTTCCTTCTTTCTCTTGTCACGGCTGAGTAAATTGCTTAGAGGTATGTAGCCTGCTGCCCTGAACAACTGTTTCTTCTGCAGCTACCGGACAGGATCAAAGTTAGCAGTAGCTTTAGTTAGGCTAGCCTTCCTCATTCTAGTACTCTCCTGATGTGTTGGAATTGCAACCCCTGTTTTTTATAAATTTGTATGAGTATCCATCTACTGATGTTCGTACTTGATGCATCTGCAGTTCACAAAAGGTTATGCCAAAACAAAACAAAGCCGCATCTTAGTCTTTAACACAGACCTGTTTCTGTGAAATCATTGCAAATGTTAGGAGAAGAAGAGTGGTTTTTTTTTTTAAAAAAAATTCTGAGCTGTTTAAATTTTAAACAGAGTACTTTAAAGTTGAAAAAATGAAGACAGATGAATTACAGAGCTGGGATGCAATTCTGTGTAGAGGAGTTGGTGAAGAATCAACTTGGGAATGTTTGTAAGGGAATTGCCAGATATCTTCTTTTAAATGTGTATTATGTCTGTGATGCTGTATGCCCAGGAGAGTGTTTAGTGGGGATGCAGAATGGAGGAAGGCTGGAGATATGGAGAGAAATCTTGTAAATTCTGTGGAGTGGGTATTCTCTAGATTGTAAACCCCCAATCGGATTGGGCCCAAACTTTCTCAAAAATCATACTGCCCTTTATGAGCTTACCCAGGTGTTAAGATCATCAGTGGAGGCCTTGCTCTCAGTCCCGTCTCCCTTGCAGATGTGCTTGGTAGGGACAGGGGAGAGGGCCTTCTTTGTTGCTGCTCCCAGACTCTGGTACTGCCAGCCTAGCAAGAGGCTAGGCTGGCACCATCTTTGTTGTCCTTCCACAGCAGGTGAAGAGTTTGCTCCTCAGGCAGGCTTTTCCTTAGCCGTAGTCAGTCGACTGTCTGGGATGGTTTGTATTTTGTTGCTTCCAAGTCCACTTTAGTGATGCTTTTAGCCAACATTTTTTAATTTAGTGTTATTAATTCTTTTTAAATATTTGAATAATTTACTGTTTTAGCTTTTAATATTGTGTTTTTAATGATGTAAGCTGCTTTGGGTCCTTTTTAGGAATGGCAAAAAATATTCTAAATAAAAACAAACAAGCAAATAAGATTACTACCCTGAATCCTTAGTTGAAAGGCATTACCTATTTTTGAGGTTAATCTTTAGTCCAAAATTTTCAGAGATTTGTGGTTTTACTACCAATGAAATGAGGACGGTGTATTAGAATGTTATGCTGTTTTCGGTAGTGGTCCTGAATTCCTTAGGCTAACGTTGATATGTTCTCTTTATTCAACATGAACTCAACATGAAGTCAAGCCGTTTATTTTTGGTATTACAGTATTTTTATATCGGGCAATTGTCTTTGTACAATTTCTGAATATTAGAATAATAAGAATAAGAAACCACTGTTATAAAAAGGAGAAAGTTAATTATTCATTGTGCTTTCTGTATCTATTGAAACTATTTGAGTTGTATTTGAGTTGTGTCTAGAAACAAAATATTCCAGAGTTTATTAATTGCCTTTTGAGATGAGATTGGCTGTCTATCACCACAGAGGAATCAAAAGCAGTAACAGTGAAATATTGATTACCTTTTTTGAGGAAGGAAAGAATCCTGCCCCATTTCTAAATGTTAACTATATTGGAAAGAATTTTTTTTCTCTCTTGGGAAAGAATGTTTTCCAGGTTGCTTCATTGCCAGGTGTTTGACACCGAGTGGAGCTTTAAATGAATGAAGCTTATGGCAGCATTTGGAAATGACTGACTCCAGGGAATCTCAGCTTCCTGCTGTGAAAGTTTCTATTTTCAAAGCACATCAGTTTTAGTAGGAATGTTACAGTGGTCCCATATGCTGCTTCTGACACAGAGCTAAGTTTCTTCCCTGAACATGAGACAGCTACTGAAGAGGTCCCCTTGCTGCTAACAAAATGAATTTCAATATGTTGCCAATGAACAATCGGTATGTTTCCAACAGCTAATGGAATTTAGCTCTGTCAACTGTTAATGGAAATCTGCTTTGTTTCCGTCCCAGCTTCAGTACAAGCTACCAATATCTCATTTTGTGGGTTCAGAAGCTCGAAGGAATCACCCGTACAACATGCCAGCTTCTCTTGCAAGTCCTGCTACATTTCCCCCTCTCATAAACTCTTTTTCCTCACTCTCTCCTTGACCTAGCGGTAGGAAGCCTTTGTCTGAGGTGTTCATCTGGAACAACTTTTCCACACTTGTTTTCATGTTCTGTTAGATTACAGGGCAGCAGGCCTACCTTTGAAGCTCCTTTCTCTTTTGTTTCTTTGCAGTGCACTCCAGTAATTAACTTTGTCCTTCTTTTATTTGTTCCAGTCAATCGCAGTCCACTCTGCTGAGCATCTTCTCCCAGGAGTACCAGGTTAGAAGTTTTCTCCTTTGTGAGGGTTGACAGGTGCCTAATTGAATGATGAATGTCCCTTTATTTCTTTGTAATTGAACTGCCAGCTTTCTGATTGGTTTGGAGGATGTTCCCCTTTCCACATCAAGCACCGCCTGAGTCTCAGTGGATGGCTGCCAAGCCTACCCATCCATCTGTCTAATAACATCTAGCCTTTGCTTATTTGGTGGACCTGTAATAAATTATGCTAAACCATTATTATTCTGACAATAATAATTTCCCTGTGTTGCGTGGTTCCATGTGCTAAATGTTTGCTGACTTGCACTGTCAGTGCCGCTTTCCACGGCTGACAGAGATGATGATAAATGACCATTGCCGGAGTGGCAGAAGGCAAGAGAGGCAGAAAATGGAGTCATTTATCATGAGATGACAGGTGTCAGTCAAGTGGCAAGTCTCAATGGAATTACTTTTTGTAGTTTTCAAATAAGTTGTTTTTAAGCAATGTTCTTCCTGGTTAAAAATGCCAATTGAATTGTAAAACCAGAGTGCAGAGGACTTGGATGGAATTGATTTGAAGGGAAATTAATATAAAGGTTGAAAGAAAGAACAAGCTTTTCTCTGCCCTCTGTAACCCTCAGCAAACTTATTTAGATTCAATTACTATGACCTTACTGCCTTTTACATATAAGCTGTATTGCGGTAGAGTCAGAACATGCTCCATTCAATGCATAAACAAAAAAATTATTTCTAAGGATGGGTCTATGATCTGTGGGCTTTCTTGAATATTTGTACTTTGCTTTGGATTTCTGTTTGTCATGCTCCGTTCTGTTTTTCAGAAAGTAATTAAAAAAACACATGCCAAACATCATACTCCAGAGGCAACGGAAGCTTACTATCAAAGGTATGAGTAACCCAGTCCATTGGAGGGGACAGGGGCTTGCTAATCTGTGGTTCAGTTTATTCTGTGCAACATATTGTCACTTTTAAAAACTCTGTTTAAAAAGATGAAATATAAAGTCACTACTTCAAGAACATAAATGTAATTCTCATCCCTGAAGATTTACAAATTTTATTTTACTAGAAAGTTTCCCAAGATTAGCATTTACGCAAGAACTGCCACAGTACATGTCAATGCTAGCACATTGAATCCCCATAGACTTCAGTGATGCACCTAAGTCTGTGTTGACTTTTGGCCTTGATCTGCGGCAGTCTTTGTTTCATATACAGTGGTGCCTCGACTTACGAACGTCCCTACTTACAAACATTTTGACTTACGAACAGTTCCGGTCACAACATTTTGCTTCCACTTGTGAACAGAACTTCCACTTACAAACAGAAACAGGCAGGGAAAAAAGGCAGGTAACTGAGATTTCTAACTGTAGGTGGTGACAAGGCTGCTCTGTACTGTAGCTCTTTCCCTTTTAGCAGTTAAAGAGTGTGTTGTCATCGTCGTAGGCTTGGGAGAGCCTCCTTCTGCTTCGGAGTGAACGCACGCATGTGTGTCTGCAGGGAGGTAACGTGCTGTTTTCTCCTTTTATAAAAGGAGAAAACAGCACGTTACCTCCCTGCAGACACACATGCGTGCGTTCACTCCGAAGCAGAAGGAGGCTCTCCCAAGCCTACGACGATGACAACACACTCTCTAACTGCTGAAAGGGAAAGAGCTACAGTACAAAGCAGCCTTGTCACCACCTACAGTTAGAAATCTCAGTTACCTGCCTTTTTTCCCTGCCTGTTTCTGTTTGTAAGTGGAAGTTCTGTTCACAAGTGGAAGCAAAATGTTGTGACCGGAACTGTTCGTAAGTCAAAATGTTTGTAAGTAGGGACGTTCATAAGTCGAGGCACCACTGTACCAAGTAGGTCCTTGGAAGTTTTCCATGCTAGCCTTAGTGAATGTTCTTGGAAGTTTTCCATGCTAGCCTTAGTGAAATGAATGATAATGTATGATCCTTGGATATGAAGCACGGTTAGTCTGTTATTATTATTATTAATTTTATTTATATGCCGCATTTCTCTGAACAAGGGACCCAAAGCGGCTCACAACATTAAAATTCACACAATTTAAAAACACAATAAGTTAAATATTAAGAGATGAGTTAAACAGTATATGATTTTAAATACAATTAAAAGATTAAAACATGAAAACATAAAAAAGGTTTAAATTATCTGCTGAAACGGGGTTCAGGATTCAGTTATAACTGTTAAAAGCCTGCCTGAAGAGATGAGTTTTTAGCTTCTTCTTTTTTTGGAAGGATAACGGGAGGGGCCATCCTGATCTCCTGAGGGAAAGTGTTCCATAGCTTGGGAGCTGCCACAGAGAAGGCCCTCTGCTGTGTCCCCATCAGCTGTGCCTGTGCTGGCAATGGGACCGAGAGGAGGGCCTCCTCTGCTGATCTTAATTGCCGAGAAGGCGCATATAGGAGATATGGTCCTTCAGGTAGCCTCAACCCAAGCTGTATAGGGTTTTATAGGTAATGACCAGCACTTTAAATTGGGTTTGGAAATGGACTGGTAGCCACTGCAGTTCATGTAACAGGCGTGTTATATGCTCCCTGTAGTTGGCTCTAATCAGTAGTCTGGCTGCAAAGTTTTGCACCAGCTAAAGCTTCTGAACCATCTTATTTATTTATTTATTTGATTTGTATCCCGCCCATCTGGTAGGTCAATACCACTCTGAGCGTGTCTTCAAAGACAACCCCACATAGAGCGTGTTACATTAATCCAAATGAGATGTAACTAAGGCATGTGTCACTGTAGCCAGATCCAACATCTCAAGGAATGAGTGCAGCTGCCGCACCAGCTTTAGCTGTGCAGATGCACTCCTAGCCACCACCGAGACCTGGGCATCCAAGTTTATGGATGTATCCAGGAGTACACTCAAGCTGCGGACCTGAGTTTTCAGGGGGAGTGTAATCCATCCAGCACAGGTAGTATCCCTATTCCCTCATCTACCTTCCGACTAACCAGGAGCACCGGTGTCTTGTCGTATTATAAGAAACATCCATGAATTTAACTCTCTGTTAGAAAATGAAAATTATATCCAAATATTTGAATTCTGCCTGTTTTACAAAAAGTTATGTCAAAAACACCTTTCATAGGAAGCATGAAGCTTTAGCATGTCATTTCATAAAACATTACATGATTATGTGCACCTGGAGTTTATACATTGTAATTGCTATAGGTTATCTGTTTCTCTATTGACATAGACATCTCAACAACATAATTGGAGCATATTGATGCCTGGTAGAGATATGCAATTAAAATTTTACAGTATAGACTGACATGTGAACAGTCTGTGTGGCAAGTGAGGTTGTACTGCGATTATAGATATCTGATATCTGTAACCGAAACAAAAATATTGGAGCAAGTTGACTATATGGTACTTGTATGTATTTGTTGATTGATAGGTATGTATTGCAGTAGTACTATGCTGTCTTCATTTCTATTTGTTGCAACAAATTAAAGTTTCCAGAGTGTTAGTAGTCTGTTTTTTTTAAAATTCCATCTAGATTTAATTGTTCCCAGAGTAGGAGCAATGTTACATAGAGGAATAGAATAGGCAGAGTTAATGAACGGGGTTGTATTGTTCTACAGTTATATGTTGTGTGAACATGAATAGTTCCATGGTTTAGGCATTTGGCTGTGGAACCAGAGGTTGGGAGTTCAGTTCCTCGCTGTGTCTCCTTGATAGGGTCTAGACTCAATAATCCATAGGGCCCTTTCCATCTATGCAGTTCTAAGATGATGATGATGAATGTGAAATATGTCCCTGCCAAAAAAACCCCCTGCATATTATTATGTTTTACACCTGAATTAAAAGCAAAATAAAAAAAGGAACATACTTTTTATTAAAAATGCAGTGTGTGCCATGCTGTTTATAAATAAAACTGATGCTACTTAATCCCACTGCTGTGGTTTTAGAAAATTGAAGTATTTGCTTGTTTTCAATTTTTTCCTGTAATGTTACTAAAAGCATCTAAGGTACTTTATTTAGTACTGCAAACTGTCTCTACCGTACAGTGCTTACATAAGTGGTTAGGGAAATTAAATTCCTACTGTGGATGTTAATGCTCATCCACAGTAGGAATTTGGGTAGTGGTCATACAAATTCTCAATTTTGATTAGGCTTTTGTTTGTGATTTGATGTGGCATATTTTACTGTTTTATTATAGTTAGTAGACAGTTAAGCACAGTTAGAACTGGATACAGAACAGCTGATTGGTTCAAAATTGGTAAAGGAGTACGACAAGGCTGTATATTGTCTCCCTGCTTATTTAACTTATATGCAGAATACATCATGCAAAAGGCTGGGCTGGAGGAATCCCAAACCCAAATTAAGATTGTAGGAAGAAATATCAAGAACCTCAGATATGCAGATGATACCAATCTGATGGCAGAAAATGAGGAGGAATTAAAGAACCTCTTAATGAGGTTGAAAGAGGAGAGCGCAAAAAATGGTCTGAAGCTCAACATTAAAAAAAAACACCTAAGATCATGGCCACTGGTTCCATCACCTCCTGGCAAATAGAAGGGGAAGATATAGAGGCAGTGACAGATTTTACCTTCTTGGGCTCCATGATCACTGCGGATGGTGACAGCAGTCACAAAGAGTCAGACACGACTTAAAGACTAAACAACAACAAGATAGTTAATACAGTAGCTGGCTGGATAGCTTCATCAGACTGTGGAACCAGAAGTTAGGAGTTCAATTCCCTGCTGTTCCTTGTAGGAGAAGAGCCAGTCTCTGTAGCTCTGAGCAAACTGCACAGTCCCACAGCACCTGGAAAAAGGGAATGGTAAAACACTTCTGTGTATTCCATACTTGGAAACCCCTGGAAATGGACACCATTAAATTAGACTCAACTTGATGGCATTACATTTGTCTGCATGTGCATGTGTTTATATATATTATATTGTTTAGTCGTGTCCGACTCTTCGTGACCCCATGGACCAGAGCACGCCAGGCCCTCCTCTCTTCCACTGCCTCCCGGAGTTTGGTCAAATTCATGGTGGAGCTTCAATGACACTGTTCAGCCATCTCGTCCTCTGTCGTCCCCTTCTCCTCTTGCCTTCACACTTTCCCAACATCAGGGTCTTTTCCAAGGAGTCTTCTCTTCTCATGAATTGAGCAAAGTGCTGGAGCCTTAGCTTCGGGATCTATCCTTCCAGTGACCACTCAGGGTTGATTTCCTTTAGAATTGATAGGTTTGTTTTCCTTGCAGTCCAGGGGACTCTCAAGAGCCTCCTCCAGCACCACAATTCAAAGGCATCAATTCTTCGGGAGTCTTTTCTCATGAGATGACCAAAGTATACACTCACATATAACTAGCTTGCAGATTGTGCCAGTCCCATAATACACTATTCTATATATCAAGTGTTTAACAAGCACTCATTCTGTGCTTGTTAAACGTGTATTTCCCTGAACTCTTAACTATAATTTTCTGCCTTAATGTGGAGTAATCCACAGTAGTAATCTTAATCATGGAACCAAATTGTGGTGTACTGTGTGGTGGTATATATAAGAAGAAATCAGGACATAATTTGCTGCCTTAATGTGGAGTAATCCACAGTTGCAATCATGGAACCAAATTGTGGTGTACTATGTGGTGGTATATATAAGAAGAAATCAGGAACACCTGTTTGTCACCTTGTGCCCGCCTCCCCCGGTCAAGAAAAGAAAGAAACTTGAAGGCAAGTGTTTGTTTAGTACAGACAGTGCTAAGCATAGTCATTTAAGCAGGATTTTAACACAAACCTTAGTCAGTCCTATAGTGCTTAATCCATAAGCTTTAAATAATTTATGGTTAAGCTTAACTACATCTGCTACACCATTGGCCAATGTCTTGTTGTTAGACTGAACTAGAAAGCAGACCCGTTGATTCAACGTCTGAATGGTACATC